CTTTTCCTACAGTTTTCTGATGATAGTCTTCTGGTAGTATACTTGTCCGTTGTTGCTGTTGTTTATATTGTGGTACTCGAAAACTAGCAAAAACAGGAAAACGATGTGATCGTTTGTAAAGATTGACAACAATCAGAGCGTTAAGTACAATAATAACTATTAATGGCCAAGCAAAAAAATTAATTTGAGCAATAATTAAATATACTGTATGTGAATGATAGGCACCAATACATTCAAATTTGTTTTTTGTCGTTATATTACTATCAATTTGATTTGATAATTGAGTATCTTGATATGATTCAAGAAACCATATTCCTGGTGCAAAATTAAGAAATGGAATTAACCAAATAAGTACAGAAACTATTCTTATGCGAGTTTTTGTTGTATGACGACGATAATGTACACTATGATTTATACTCCAATAACGTTCTATAGTTATAGCAACAATAGATAGAACACTTGCCATTGTTACAACATCATCAATTGTAATCCATATTTTACAAAAAAGTTTTCCAAATGGCCAAGAATTTTGCATTTGAGCATATCTTTATTTAAAAAAAAAAGAACAAATAATTTCTTTTCTTATTGTTTATAAAAACTTACGAATAAAATGGCATACAAATAAGACCAACTAGAAGATCAGCAATAGCCATAGATAGAAGAAAATTATTTGATGGTGTTAATAAATGTGGATCATTACAAAAAGCAAATAGAACAACAAGATTACCACCAATTGTTAATAATATGATTAAAATAATACCAAAACATACAGATATAAATTCTATTGTTTTCCACGGAAATGGCGTCATTGATTACACTTGTCAATAATTTTTCTTTTTTTTTTCCGTTTATAAAGATATTTTATGTGTTATGTATTGTTTGTAAGTTTATTCATACCTGAAATGAGTACGTGAGCATATGAAAAAGACGAAGAAGAAGAAAAAAAAAAAGAAAGTTGGTGACAACATATATTCAAGTTAGTGATCATTACTTTTGAAGTAACAGGAGACAAAGGAAATGAGAGAGAGAGAGAGAAAAAGAAGATATTCATTCATTTTATCATCTTTCAAAGTAATTGTATATAATTAGGTACATTATTCCGGTATGCGACACGACTGACATTAAATTTTAACCTAAGAACACGGATATATGATCGCATAGAGAAGAAGAAGAAAAAAAGAGGTACAAAACGATTTCTAGTTATGTTTTCTCTCTTTTGATTGATTTCTTCTTCTTTCTTTTATCTTTTATCATCACATAATTTATTCACCAACTATAGCAGTTGTCAGAGAGAAAGAATAGTAACGGTGGCAAAATCGACTACAAATGGATCTATGATAGGGCATGTTCTCTGTCTTTTTTTCTGTATAGATATATCCAGAAAAAAAAAATTCCAGTAGTCATTCTTCTGTATCATTAAAAAAGAAGCCATAGGTTCGAATTAGCTTTTTTTTCCTAATCGTCAAATGAGAATGCTTTCTCTTTATTAAATAACAAAAAAAAAACATAAGTCGGTAGATGAAAAAAAAAAAACTATTAAATATGTATCTCAATATTTTAAATGTAATAACATGAAGGATGTGAAATTTACAAAAATTTTCTTATCAATTATTTGAAAAACTGGAAATTTTAATATTCTTACTTCGAAGTAATTCCACTTAAAGTATGAAGAAAAAGGAAAACTAAGACCTTAATAGTAACTATAATGAAATGTCATAAGTAGACACCGTTGTCATTTTGGTAATTATAAGGAGCTGTTGTCTTTTGTTTCTCTAAAACTACTAATGGCCCGTGGAATTTTATTTTGGATGTCGTTGTATGACGTCGTTGATGACAGATCATTTGGACACGATAGCCTGTCTGTTTTGGTTAATGGTAATCTGATGACATAGGGTGATGTTGTTTTCTAGAGCTTTTCTCCTTATTTCTCTTATTTTTTATCTTCTCTCCTTTCTGATTCAGTAAATAGCTGTTGATGTCAGAGAAATTACAATATGCGCTTTTACTATATTATCAAGTTAAGTTCTTTCTCTATTTTTGTCATGACTTTTATTTCATCGGTAAAGCGTCTCTCTTTTTTTTTTTCTCTTTTCCTGATGTATGTATGTATTTTATGGAAATGACAACTTTATTTTTTTGATGATATTTATAAATTTATAATTACAACAAGAATAAAGACTTAAGAAAATAATTGATAATCTAATCTGTGGTGTATATGTATAGTTTTGTGTTCAAGAGTCCAATTGATTATATAAGATATACTCAAATATAATTATTTAAAAAAGAAAACAGATCAAAAGATAAAAAGTCTAAATTTGTACTCTTTATCGCTCGATCACTAACTATGACAAATAAGATGCCATAAAGAGATAGAACAAGTATCATATTTGAGATTTTCAGGGAGATATTAACATATAAAAACAAACAACTCTCATAACAAAGACCAAATAGAAATGAAAAAAAAAAAAAATATGATCTGATGTTATGATAAAATGACGACATTTATTTTCATATTTCATTAGTTCTTTTTGTTTCTTTTCTTTTCATACCCATTAAACTTGAGATAATATCGATTGTTTCGGGTATGAAAAAACGGGAAATCTTATTCGTACTTTCATGCCAAATGAAGTTTTTGAAAAATAAATTAGATGACAAGAGCATACTTCTATGGGTCTGTCTATGCCGTAAGTATTTCATCGAAAATAAATATAGAATAATAACATTGTTAAGTAGTTGACAGTATAATTATAAATGATGAATGATAAAAAAAAATCATCTTATTTGTCAAATTGAAATCAAATATTTCTTTCATAATAATAAAAAATTTGATATAAATGACACGACAACAAAAATGATAATTGATAATTTAATTATTGTCAACAAAAAAAGAAAAAAGAAAGAAAGACCATATGATAATGTAGATTGATCCGTTTTTGTTTTTCTTTTTAAATAAATGATATTTATTGAAATAAATCTATGGTACGAAATGGGAGTAGAAAAGAAAATGGAAATAAGATTAGTCTCTAATGGTTATGAATAAGATTAAGTTTTGAAAAATTTATTAATATCAATTGAGAATGTTATGATTTTAGTTTTATTTAATCAGCTGATCATATCGACAATCATTTGTTATTGTTTTTCTTTTTCTTAAGAAATCAAACAAAAATATGTGATAATAAAATATATAATGAATATTTTTGTTTTTCCTATAAAACTAGGTCAAAAACTCACGATTATAAAAACCTTTCCAAAATTTATCAATTGTTCTTTCAATGACGATTTTATTATTGTTATGAATAAATATTTCGATGAGAAAATATGTATCCGGTTGCTGATGATTGCCAACGGGTATTACAAACATTTATTTAAAAATAAAAGTACAATGATTTCTTTTTAGTACTATCTTTTATTTGATGATATAAAATCATAGGTGCCAATGTAAGTAATATAGAACAAATATTTCAACTCTTATGAAATTAACTATCTTTTTTTTTGAAGCAGTTGACATTCACATATTATTCGAATAAATGATTAACAATTATTTTAAGTACTAATCAACATAAACAGAAATTGTTAGATGAAATATTAGAATAAATGACATTTTTCAGGATGCATCTGTCAATTTCATAAATAAATCAAAAATTGTAATATATTTCTAAATAATAGAAGCATTTATTTGATGAGAAAAATTCTTATGATATCGAGCAAGTTTTATTATTATTTTTTTTCTTAGGACTTTATATTAAATATAATATATTAAAATATGTTTCAATGAAATAAAAAACACAATCTGACCAAGCATTTGACTAGAAAAGCAAGAAAAGAGCAAGAATGGAAAGAACGGAGAAAAAAAAAAGGAATGTTCTGTGCAGGTGTCGAACCTGCGACCTTCTGCGTGTTAAGCAGATGTGATAACCGCTACACCAACAGAACCTCGAAGTCTACATTGTAATTTTTAGTAGTCAATAAGGTTTATTATGTAGAATCGTAGGTAGAATACAATTTTTTTTATCTACACAAATAGTTTTAAATATTGTTTAATTTATTCAATAAAAGCACATTATTTCACATATAAAATTCGATATGATGAAAAATGTAAATAAAAAATATAATTAATATTTTTACAGGTTATATATTTATTTTTTTGACTTTATTTTGAACACCTCTGATCAAATCGTAGATTTTTATTGAGAGAATTGATCAATATTCAAGACATAAACTAGATTATTATATCTATGTTTTTATTTCTATTTTCCAATGCAATATAATAATTTCTTTGAAGAATGAAAAAAAAAGATCCGATAAACTCAATATACTATTTCTAATAGTTTCAACAACTGAATTTTAATTTAAACACAAATGAGATGAAATAGCTATTGCACATGTATTTAGCTTGTCTTCTTTGTCAACATTGATGAAATCTTCTAAAACTATTATAAAACATTATTGCATTTGCTTAAATCATAAACGAACATGACAAAATGCATAAAACACTTCGGCTTTTTCATAGAATTTCTATTGGTGCGAGGCGATAACATGCATCTGCTACCATCGCAACGAGCACACTTTCATTAATACTTGTTGCACATTGTTTAGAAGAAAAGAAGTAAGACAGAATATTGTTCTTTTGCCATTGCACTTTTACATGGTAAAAGCTAAGAAAAAGTCTTTTTTCCTTCAATATTGTTTATTTAAATTGCGTTTTAAGTTGAAAAATGCAGATAGATCTTGTCAACACATCTGTTTTTGTCTTTTTTTTAATGAGATTATTAATGAAGAATTTTTTCATTTGCCAACTGTTAATTATATATACGAGAAAAATACAGGCGAAAGAGTAATTACTTCAACTAAATATTCTTTGTTTTTTTTTGTATGATAACAAAATCGATCGAGCCAAGAAAGGCAAAATATATATGTTCTTAGGAACAGATTAACTTTTTTTCCTCATATTTAACATTATCTAATCATTCTTTTTAGAACACATCGAATTTACTATAATCATGTCTGATGAACATCAGCAACCTCAGGATCATCAATCAGATGATTCAGGTCATCCAGGTATAAATCCCGATCCTGTTGAACGAGGCAAACAATTGGGACATGAAAATGCTCACGGTGGACATTGCGTAGGGACAGGTGGACATGGTCAAATCCCTCATACTGGTTTGTAATTTTCATTTGATAACTTTTTCAAAATGATTTCAATTTATTCTAACAGGTAGTGGTCAGCCTCTTGGTGGACACCCTGAAGCTGATCTCTCTCATTTTAGTCAACAACAATTACATCCTGGTTTAGATCCTAATCCAGTTGAACGTGGCAAACAATTAGCTTCTAAAAATGCTCATGGTGGACATTGTGTAGGTACAGGTGGACATGGAGCAAATGCAGCTAAATCAAGCAAATAAAATTTTATTTCATCGATATAAGAAACTTTTTTTTTTGTTTGATTGTACATTTTTCTTGCACGAAAAAAAAACAACAATATTTGCATGCATCATTTTTTTTTTAAACAAAGTTAATAGTTTTTGTTTTTGAATATTAGTTAAAAATAAAAACAGTTAATCAATTTTCAAATAATTCACATGGGGTTACATTAACATTACTAGCTATTTCTTGAATATTTTCGTATTGATCAAGTATTTGCCAATTAACAGGACAAACATGAATAGTTATTGGATCAGATGATATCGATAATATTGATAAACTAACTGGTTTTGTGGGATTCGCATATATTTTTGAAGGAAATAGTGAATGTAAGTTTTTTTTAAACGAACATATTTCTTCTTAAAAGAGAGAAAAATTATTATTATTATTAATATTATTATATGGACCATTTCAGAAGAAACGGGGCGTATCAACCTTTTATTTCATTTAGATTTTTTGCGAGAATTATTTTTCTGAATACTTTCTTTTAACACAGACATATGTAAACATATTTGCTTTTTCAGTTGAATATTAATTAATAAGTAATTGTCCGAAAATTTGAGGATAGACTGTGTGAAAAGAACCACAGTTATGGTAAAATTTTCAGCAAGATCAGACTTCGGAATAAAAAAACTCCTCTTAAAAGCCAACTATCTAGAGATTCTGAAGAAGTGTGTGCACCATTTGCAATTGTTTTTCTTGAACTTCTGATTCAATTAAAAGAGAACTTTTTTGTTAGTATATTAGTACTTCGTTATGGCGCTAACGAAAAATAAATCGATTTTTCTGAAAAATTTAGATATGTTCAGGGAGACTTTGTAGGTTCAGGAGTTGTTTAAAGAATGTACTGTATAGTTTTTAAACATGTTGTTTCAATACGGAGCTTGTTTTAAACTAAAAATGCATGAAATGAAAGTCGATATTTATTTTTTTTTGTGTCACGTCAGTAACGTTGATTTTTTACTCATAACTTTTGTGAACAAATGCTTCTAGTGCTGATCTTTAGAGTAACTTATCATCCATGTAACATAAAAATTAGTTCTAGAAAAGTTCATTATCTCGATATTAACGTGTTTTAATTTTGCGAAGTTACGTCACTAACGAATGAGACGTTGAACGAAAATATTTATGCCAAGATGATTTAGCTTAGGTGATCATAATAGGCAAATGATGTGTGAGTCATAACTTTTGATGTTTGAGATTAGCGCTTATAGTCGCATGCATGCAACCAATCTATGAACTCAACATTATAAAGAATAATAGCACTTCATTGGGGAGCGGCTACTGTTTTTCAGGACTGTATGTATTTTTTTTTCAATATTAATCAATTCAATCTTACTTGCATAAGGTGATGATGTAATTTGACAATTAGCAGATTTTTTAGTTTTATCTTCATAATGACATTCACAATGAACATCAGAAAATGATGTTAAACCAATAGCAAAACATTTTCCTTGTTTATGATTATTGCGAAATTTTAATACTGGACATTTTCTCATTGATGATAAACTATCATTATTACGTTGATATTCACATTCTGAACCATAATATTTTGATCGACATAAACATTTTTCTATATTATCTATTACAATACATTTACCATTATTCAAACATTTCTTTTTACAATTCTTATCACTTATTGTACGACGACGATATTGACAACGTGAACCATCATAATTTGATAAACATTGACAAGCAAAACCATTTATTAATTCAATACATGTACCATCATTTAAACAAGATTCCGTATCACAATCGATGATATCGATATTACATGTGTTACCTGTAACTCCCGGATTACAAATACATTTATCATTGATACATTGACCATGTATGCATGTTTCATTGACACATTTACCTATTTAAATAAATATATACGTCTTTTAATAAAGATTTACTTAACGGTATACTACCGTGAACACTTATAACAATGAAAAACCAGCTAATGAAGATAAACATTATAGAAAAAATAAAGCACTGACGAATTAATATATTAACACGAGCGAAAAAAAAAACATTCCAGTGCATACGTGATAGAATCGAATGATACTATCTTTCAGGATGTTTTCGATAAATCATCCTAAAAAAATCTAATGAATGTTTCAACAATAAAACTAACTGATAAAAAAGAATAACTCCATATTGTAGAAGTTTTCATCAAAAGCTAAATTAACATTATAATAAAGTTGTATTTTTGATAATGGAGAAATTTTAACAACTTGGTTTCTTCAAAGTATTGTCTCTAAAATTAACATATTAATATCATCGAAAACACCACAAAAAAATTATAGTTAAATTATATATCCAAATTAGAAAAATGAAGCTGGACACTTTTTTACTAATAACTAAAGAATTGTTCAATTGTTGTATAATCTGAGGTCAGAGAGATCAATCTACAATTAGCTAGACACATGATGAATATTCCTTAAAAAATCTAGCATCGTCAAAAAACTACTTTTTCAGAAAAGTCATGGTTAAATACTTCGATATGCACTGTCTAGATTATTATAGTTTTGAAGCTATATTCTTGCTAAAAGCGAATTTTTCTTTTTTACAAATGTTGTTTGGTGACGCGTTGACCTTCACCAAAGAGAGAAAAGTTTTCTTTTTAACAAATTTTGGCTATTTTCATAAAATTTCTCAGCTTGATTGAGAATTGCTCTGACTTAATATGCGTCTCAAAACTATTAAAAGACGAAAAATGAAAAAAAAATACTAGACTCCGATGTTTTGTATTAAATAAAGAAAAAAAAAATAAGCCTTTTTAGTCGAGTTGCTTAAATACCATCGATGATGCAATAGACACCAGAAATGGGTATTATAAATATAATCAAATTGGCGAGCTTCCATTAAGAATGGGATATAACAAAGCTTCAGCTCAACATGATTCTCAATTAACGCAACGATTATACAGTTGATTAAAAGTCATAGTATTCTCATTCTTTCTCTTTGTTGCTTTATCTTTCGAAGAAATTCGTTTTTTAAAAGTGATAAACATTAACAATCTCAAAAAATGAAATACAATGTAGAAATTTCTCAAGATAAAAAAAAACCTTGTTATATTAGATATATGGTATACTATCATTGAATCATTGATTCTAGTGATAATTTTTAAGAACAAAAATCAGAATTGTTGTCATTCGCTTTTACTAACTGAATCTAACGGTTCGATTTCGACTATTTCTTGGAATCACCAACCTATACTTACGATATAAAGGTTTTCATGTGTTTCAAACCGAACAAAGAAGGAGGATGTGAGGTGTGAGTGGAAAGAACATCTATAGCTACACTTTCAGCATGACAAGTAAAAAATAAATAATACATGACTACAAAGTTTCTGATTTTGATATAAAATAGAATAGGATCTTACCACTAAATACTTGCATCATAGAGAAAGAGCTTGACTAAAGAAAAAACTTTGATGTTCGTTAGACAGTGTCATAATTATTATCATTAATACTACAAATGCATCACGAATTCGATTATATTATTTTAAATTTCTAGTACTACTTGAAATCTTTGAACATATGCGGAAGTTGTTCGTTATGTTCATACATCAATTTTTTGTGTCATTTGACAAGAGTAATGTCTTTTGTTATAAAGGAGACATTCTATGATTTTCTATTCAGATACTGTGTGATCTTATACTTAGAGCTCAGATATAATCGACACACGGTTTTTGTTCAAAACCTAACAACAAAAATAATGACTCAAAGATAATACAACATCAATAATTAATTATTCATCAATGATCATCATTGACTGATAGTCACTAATAACAACATATATACATAAGAAACAATTTTCGTCTCCCAATCCATCCTATTTAATCTATGAGCTGATCTTCACGACACTAACTAGAGGACTCCCCCAGATGAAGTTTCGCTTACAAAAGTCTACATATGGGTTAAAATATCTCGTATAAAGTGGAACTTCACCTGAAGGAGTTCTCCCGTGAGATCCAAACAAACATACTTAAAAATATAAGTACGAGCTCTACGAAGGCATTTACCTTTAAAACTCTGTTAACATGACCATCATACTCCAAGTGATTCGCTGATTAATTTCTGTTCGCGCAAAACAAAAAGGTCACATAAATGGTGATCAAATGCATTGCTATTGACTTGTAAAGCTATCCACAAATGGTACTCATATCTTTTTCAGGGCTATTTGGAGATTGTACCTACTACTGTTTAAGAACTATCTCAGAGTGACACCTTTAACTTGCTTAGAAGTATTGTGACACAATTCTCGAAAGTTTTTAATTTCTATGATCAGATGTGCGAGAGAAGGTGGTAATAGAAAGTTACCTCTCTCGTCATTAATTTATGCTTTTGCATAATTTCTCTATTTAATACGAAAAAAACTTATAACAAAGAGAATTGCTTTCGTTTATTAGCAGCATAGCAATATTTCATACCGCAAATCATTTTCCAAACAAAAACCACTAAAATTATATTTAAATGAAATAGAAAAGATTCAAAAATTGAATATATATTTCATGATCATACATAGACTTATCTAAGATTAAAGAATTATATTAAGTTCATCTAATCTATGCAAGCATTGTAATCTTCAGCACATTTTTTTTTTCAATAGTATATATATTATCAAGTTAAGTTCTACTGCGGACTGGTGATATGTCAATAGATGGCGCTACCTGATGACAATTCAGCGATATACATGATCATAACTTTGAGTAATTAATTCATTTAATCATGGCTTTTTAGATAATCTCCCTGCGAATCTCTAAAATGTATTCACGAAGTATACAAATATCACATTAAGATGACTGATCGCCGTTAACTTATGGTTTTGTATACGAATCCCTATTGTAAAGAAACTAAGGCTTATTTCGATTAAGAGGATCTCATCTCCTAATTGATTTTCATTCCATTTTTTACGAATGCTCTGCTAATGGAAATACACTAATTAAAACATGTTAATAGCTCCAAATTCATCTGTTCAAGATATTTCCATAGACCAAAATACAAAATAGGGTTTGCACGCATGCAAAGGTTTTTTCAAGAGACTTTAGTTTATAGAATTCGAACAATGTTCATTCAAAAGAGAAGTTCTTACTGCTTCGAATGAGAGAACAAGCTTTTTTATAGTTTTGCTTTTATTTTATTTTTGGAATCCAACAAACCTTAAAAGTCCAAAAGTCTGAGACAACGTTTTCTAGATATCCCAGAATTGCTTTGATATCAATGTTCAAACACAAAACCGCTTCCATTGATCCAAAGGAAGATACATCTATTTATCGACTGGAAAAAAATGCAATGTGCTAGAACAAATTATGTTGACCAAAAATTTACTTCAAGTCTTATCGAATGGCTTTCTAGCCATAAGTTAAGTCTTAATGGAAGTGATAACTGCCATAGCATTCATAATTTTTCTACGGGTTTAGATTCTAGTCTTTTCTTTAGCGATCTGTAGAAGAATTGATTAAATCGATCATGCTCTTCTGACTTATTTTCTGCATATTGTATGCTATTTACTTGGTTCTAGCTTTGTCAACAGTTAAAATGACATTACTAATCCTTATGTAATTTTCAAATTCAAAGTTTAAAAGCTCATTAGCCAAGGCGGCTATCAACCAATGAATGTGAGTCATCTTCGTACAATAGTTTATTTTACATACTGATCCAAAGCAAAACATAGAAAGAATGAAAGTATGACTATGAATAAAAATAAGGAGATGGTAGCGACCCAAATTGGTTCTCTTTGCATGTTTCAGATTGTTTTCGTAAGCTTATCTAGTTTTTTTTATGGAAGTCATAAAGTCAAACATTTCATCTTATTCAACTCATTGTGCCATCAGTCATAAAAGTACGCGTTAATTTTTTCTCTTTTCCTTTTCATTGTCAAGTAAAATCATTTTTGCTAAATTTTAGAAAAAATAATTAGAACTCTGCCCGCATTTCTCTATGAAAACTAAATTTTCATGCAATGAGATTATCAAATTCTCAAGCAGTGTAAATAACTGGATCGACTAATTTATAATTTGATCATTTTCGTTGATTTCAATTTTCAACTAAACCAATAAATGACTGAAATTTTCACCAAGAAAATCAAGTTATTTACGCAAATTCCAAAAATGAGAACCTTATTGCATTAAAGCTTAGTTTTAATAGAAAACTATGGGCAGAATTCTAGTTATGTCACCTAAAATTTAGTAAAATGAGTTTACTCTAAAAAGAAAAGAAAAATCAGTGCTTAATTTTACGACTGGCATTAGTACCATGAATGAAATGAGATAAAACTTTTGATTTTAACACTTACATAATAAAAACTACTAGATAAATTTACAAAAACGAACTATAACCCTGCGAATAGTATCAATTCGGGTTGCCAACAGCAACAGAGCTTTAGAATCACAAAAAAAGCAGAACAGAATCATCGAATCAAGCTCTATGGAACCATGTAATGAAAACAAAAGGAAAAAATCTGAAATCGATCTAGTTTCATAATATTTGTTATAAGAAAAAAAAAATTTTAATAGATAAAAACCATCATTATTCAAGCCTTTTCTTTGATCAATAACTCAACTAGAAAAATCGTGTTTTTTTTTTGTTCAAGGCTCAGTAATGATCACAGGTTGTCTTCAGACATGTTCAGGCCAATAGGGAATCTAATAGTATACATCATTGCCTTGTTCCAGACTCGAACTGTCGACGTCAATTCCAACATTTCTTATTCCACTCAACCAGATTCTTTCGTTCTGTTACTGATATGAAGCTGACCGACCGATAGAATACGACGTGAAAAAATAACCAGACAAAGAAATGTTGTTCTCTTTCTTCACTCTTTAAGCTTATATAAATATTTTAAAGCTTTTTTTTAAACTTAAAACAAATATATAATAAAAGATATGATCTAATAATGCCATATATTTTGAAAGTTTATTTCATTATTAATTAACTTTTATTCGAACCATTTTTAATAGATATGTATTTCTTCTGTTTTTTTTTAACCCGAATGTTTAAGTCGTCGATAACAATTGAGCATTTCTGTAACAAGATCAAGTTTTGAATTATTAGAATATTTCAAACGTCGAATACATTCGAGTACTTCTGTTGTTGTCCATAAAGCATCACGTTTAACTATTAAATTTTGATGTGGACGACGTGTATTGCGATATAATATTTCTCCTGATGATAATGATGATGATTCATCACCAAGTTTACGTGAAAGATATTCATCAAGATCAGCTAATTGTTGAGGTGTAAGAGATTTAAATTGATTATATAATTCATAAGTATTATCATCATCATCATCATCACTATCATTACGATCATATAATGAAGCAGTTTGACAAATGATAAATATCATAAGAAAAACTAGAATTAACAATCAAAAAACAAAGTTTCTTTTTTCTTATTTTCATATATTCATATAACTTACTACATAATGAGAATCTTATCAACATGGCTTACACTGTAGACGTATTGATCGAATGCAAGAGAGACAGATGTATGTAATGATAGAAACAATAATAGACGTATGTTTGTGTTTGCTTATACGGAGATGTCGGTGGCGTAAATCTCCATCTATCCTAGTCTCTAGTTATATTTTTTTTTCTCTTAATTCTTCATTAACATATGCTGTTGTCACTCAAAATAATGATAGATGAGTCGAATTATATACTAAGCATTCTTGTTATTCTAATTTTTCATTGATGAAATGGTGATATTGTTTGACAGTAATCAACATTTGTAATGTAACTAAGGAATATATTAAAGAAATATGACAAAAATAAGCCTATGGAATAGAAAAATCTTGTTGCATTGTCAATCAAAATGTTCTTTTTTTTTTGTTTTTATAATTTTCACTACTAATTCTTTGAATGAACTGTGATCGACAAAAAAGAAGCAGTTGAGTTTTTTCTGGAAACTATATTAGGTTACGAATAGCATGCAAACTATATTCCGAAGATGACAAGTTGATGATAGAACACGATGAGTAGTATGTATAATTATATTACCAGAAATATCAAAGACATAAATAAAAGCATATATATAAGTGATATCCATTTGTTTTCTGGATATCTTATCCTACAGAGTCAATACGTTAAGTAATGATAAGTTATGGAGTGCAATAATACATTAAAAGATAGAGAATTTTCAAGTAAAGCTTTCAACACATGAGAAGACTTCCCTATACAATAAATGAAATAGAAGATACTCTAGAATATATCTTCTGATCATCGATTTCTGTTTTTTTTTATTGATTATCTTAATATTTATGCCCATAATAATATGTAACGATGGGGAAGGTCGCCAACTGTTAAATCATTGTTTATTTGAAGCCTAGCGGGCAATAGATAATCGACCAAGTTGATTCCGAATATCAACATTATTTTTTGCTGCTAGGTATTCAAAGATGCGAATTTCTTAAAAACCAGTGTTCTGTAGTACAAAACATACTTTTCTTTTGTTCTGTCTAGTTTCGTAGAATACCACGAGTTCAATATAAAAAACTAATGTTTTTTTGAAATTTGAACTATTATGAAGGGGCTTGTAAAAATAAAAAATAAGTTTTAATTAGAATCTTCACCCACATCCTCTCTTTTCGTAGAAAGATCTATAGACATTTTTCGAAACGGACACAAGAAAACGCTAAATTTGTATTCACCAGTGGTTTCGCTATGAACTTTTTCTTCATGGATAATCATATTCATTGAAATCAACTTTTGTGCCTACTGAGTATGTTAATAATACATTTCACTATGAATGAATTTCATCTATATTATTCAAATCTCAACATAAACAAGTGACTTAAAAATAAGTTTGATAGCAAAGAAATTTCATATTCTTTTTTTTTCAGCTATTTAGCTATTTGAGAAAGGAACTGTATTGTTCTAACAACACTTTTCTTATCAATGATCGCCTCTCTCATTTTCGTAGGGTATCATCCATTTCTTTCTCATTCTACACATGTGAGATATGTGAAATAAACTCGTTTACTAGCAATGTATTGGACAACGATGAATTCGAAATAAGAATTGTCGGCAAGACTACCGAAAAATATGACTTTTTAAAGAGACTTAATAGAAGAATCTCTTGTTATTTATCAACATTAAGACACAATCGAAGAGCTTCAGTCTTCTAATGTGTGACAGGCGTTAATGACAGTATCAACAGAATGCCGAACCTACCGGAAAATTTTTAAAATTGTTGCTAACGGTAGTTCACAGAAGGTCTGAGAGAGCTCAAGTCTCCAAGCTAAAAACTTTGGTGTCGCTACTGTTTTCAACTTGGGAAAACTGCTGGTATTACACAAATATATGTATGGCATTAAAGAAAATATATTACGATTATTTAAGAAACAAATTGCACATAGGTTACATGTTCTCAATTAAATTATGAAAAGATTTTGTACTGATTGTGGTCATGACTTCTGATTAGAGATGGATAATTGGTAGAGTCAGTCGAGGGAGTCCCGAATCCAGATCCAAGTCATAAAATTTTGGGCTCGACGAACTCTTCGTTGGTGATTTTACGTTACAATTAAAAATATGTGAGACTAACGAGGAAACCGTTCCAACTGATAAATCGCTTTTTTAATGAAAGCTGGTGGGTTATAGGTTATCGACTATGCTGATTTCGAATATGAGTATGAGGAGTGCCCTTAGGCCTTTATAGGATGGTTTTCTAGAAAACCAGATCTCTAGAAAACCAACTTTAAACTAAATTTTTGTTTTTGACCTGCTCAGGTTATAAAGCACATCAAGTTGTCTATTAATCGATATTTTCTTTTGTTTCAAATAGATTTTACGATGACATACAGTCAATGGAATTCACATAGTAGATGCATATTACTAGCATTTCACTGTACAAATAGGAAAGTTTAATGTTGTTTATTCAAGACAATCCATGCAAAGCAGGAAAAACTATTGATTTATAGGCAACTCAATGTGCTCTATAATCTGAGCAGATCAAAAACAAAAATTTCATTTAAATTAGTTTTCTGAAGACCTGGTTTTCCAGAAACCCACCCTATGAAGGCCTAAGGGCACTCCTCATACTCATATTCGGAATCAGCATAGTCGATAACCTATAACCCACCAGCTTTCATTAAAAAAGCGATTTATCAGTTGGAACGGTTCCCTCGTAAGATTTTTTTGGTTCCAATCTAGAAAAGACTATTCTAGAATTTATTCTTATTACATCTAAATTTTTTTTGAAGCTATTTGATTATTTGTTTCGTCGATGACTAGCACTTTTTGAGACATTTCTCTTGAATTATGTTCTGACTAGACATCGGCGTGACCAAAAAGTCGTGACCAAAGCAAAAAAAAAGTTTTTCGATTATAGTTTCAATAGTACATGTGACAACCGAAACCTATTTATCTATTCTTGTTCAGAATTTTTTTCTCTTCAAAATGGTATATAAAATTCGAAGAATCCGATGATCCATAACAGAGAAAATTGCATAACATTAGTCGTGACCAGTTTTGGTCACGATGAGTCACGACATTTTCTGGTCACGACTAATATGATGCAATTTTCTCTGTTATGGATCATCGGATTCTTTGAGTTTTATATACCACTTTGAAGAGAAATAAATTCTGAACAAGAATAGATAAATAGGTTTCGGTTGTCACATGTACTATTGAAACTATAATCGAAAAACTTTTTTTTTCCTTGGTCACGACTTTTTGGTCACGCCGATGTCTAGTCCTGACTGATACCATTTATAAGATAATTTGCTTAAAAACATAGAATATTGAATTATAACCTTCAACTCCAGTTGAGAAAACTTTTTCTCATAGTCTCAATTCCCATCTCAGCAATTTTTTTTTCTAGTAATTTTGCGCATCTTTATTCCCAATAGCAAGATCATTTTTTATTATAAACCACTTTTCCTAGCATAAAACTAATCAGGCCTTTTGTTAAATTCCAATTTTCCTTTATTTGAATACAATCGAGAACTCTAGATGTCATGAAAAAAATTTACATATGTTTTTTCTTATAAGTTGCATCTCGAATGCATAATTCGTTCGCTCTTCTAGTTATAAATACTCTTAAGAAAGAACAATGAAAACAAAGCATTGTCGTGCTACAATCAAATGTGAACATTTAACTATGAGAAAATATGTTTATCATCGAATATTTGTTTCAGTTTAATTTAAAATCTATATTCCCATCTCCATATTGAATGTTTTTTCAAGATGAAATAAATATGAAAAAAAAATGCATATTATGCAATCACTTCTATATATTTTGTTATGATTTATATTTTTCTTTCACACATTAAATGTGTTGTATTTATAATACCCTCACAACTGTCTATGAAGTAAGTAGTTTTTAAGTGCCTATCATCGATACATCTTCAGATATAATAATAAATAACATTTATACAAAAAAAGAATTTGGTTTTTTATATCAAGTAACAATGTAATTTGGTTATCGAACGTGTAATATCAAATAAAATGTGGAATACATACTAGTCCTATAAATAGTTTAGTTATATGTACTGATACTATAGTATGAATAAAATGATGGCATCAATGATATGCTTATACATTTAAATAATTCTTTTCTAGATATTTTTATTGTATTTGAATTGTTTAATAGATGATACACGACATTTCTTTTTCCCACATTTCCAATAATTTTCAAACATCTAATTATTCGATTTAACTCTTGTTTTTTTTTTCTGCTAAATTTTTTAGCAGCTGTTCAAGTATTTTTTGATGCTTATATTTCATGACATTTTATTATTTCCTTTACGATTTTTTACTATATGTGTGACGAATATGAGAGAGAAAAAGAGATGATCTATTTCGTAATCAATATGATCGATATTATATTATGACCAACAAAAACAAACTGAAAGAGTAACGTTTTCGTTGCCCTCGGCAAAGATGTTCACTACACTACTCCATCATTCAAGTTGTCTCTACTTGATATAAAACTGTGGCTTCTATACAATAGAGAGAGCGAGTGAAATGAGAGAAAAAAAGTGAATTTAAGACAGTTTGAATTTATGACCGAGTGAACAGGTAGCTATTTTCGCTAATGAGGTCAGCGCGTCGATTTGAATGGTGACCGAACGCTCTCACATCAATGAACCGAGAACAGATGAAATGATGGTCTCCTCTGATTATTGGTGTAATATGGGCTCGACAAACATTTTTTATGGGTTTTCGTTGATATCTTTTCTTTTCGATTGAAGTGTTTTTTTTTTTGCTTAATTATCAAACAATATGCGTGAGTATGATTTTTTTAATGATAAATGAAGAATAAGGAAAGGTGTAAGAGAAAAATCTCATTCATTATCTATTGATTTATGCATAAGAAACAAAGGGTTCAATTTAAGCATACTTTTTGTTTATCATTGAACAAAGGTCAATTTATCAAAGTAAATGATTTGTGAAAAAATTTTTTTTTTATTCGAAAAATATAATATAAATATTTTCTTTGACTTCGATGATTCTTTGTTTTTTTATTGAAATAAGAATAAAACAAAACAAGCAAAAATTTAATCCTAACATTAATTTGTATGATCTTTTAGATATTCAAAAGGTAATAAACGAGAAGCATAATTTACTACGTTTAAAATTATTAGTTGATATCTTGATAATTTAAAAGAAAAAAAAAATTCACACAATACATCTGTTTTCCTTTATCATAGCTAATATCTGATCATTATTTTATTAGTAATTCTAATCTTGTTATTTTGTTCACGCATATGATTTATTTCATTGAATGATTATTTACACTATTTCTATTGTAACAACACATCATTCTTAACGGTTTTTATTTCTATTATCTCTGATTATTATTTAACATAAGCTTTTAGAAACCAAATATTAATTAATTTTTATCTCATTGAAGTATCGCTTATTGCTTCGAAAAAAAAGAAAAGCGGAAGTATTATATATATATATATATTATTATCAGAAAAAAAGTTCTTTTTATATGACTAACAATCGATTATATTTGTTTCTCATAGAAAACAAGAAAAGTGCTATTGATGACATATCAATATGATATTTTCACTATAATTGTTCGTTTTACACAGCACACTATTGAACGATTCTCATTTATTTACTTTTCATTAATCATTATAAGTTCATCTCATAATATATAAAAATAAATATAGAAAAACAAAAATTATATTATGTTTATGATATAAATAAATATGTAAGTATAATCATGTTTGTAATTTTTGTTAGATGTTATCATTCTTTGAAAACATAAAACATTAAATTTATGAACAATTTATATAGAAGTGTTTGTATAAAAGATTTCGAGCGAAGAGCAAATCTCTATAGGCTATGTTTGATTTTATTTTCTTTCTTTTGCTACTAATTATAGATATAAAACACTCTATTATATATGTGTTACAAGTAAAACGACTTGCTATATTGAGATCAACATTAACGAATATTTTCTTTGCTAATCACTAGCAAAAGGTGAAAATTATTAAATGTATCTATGTACTTTTCTTTCTCCAAAATTTGATTATATATTAGAATCTTGAAAATATTTTATACAATCATATTTATATTTTTTCAGATGTGCCGTTGATTATCTGCACATTCATCAAAGTTGTTAGTTTCATAATCGATAGAGCATCAGTTTTATTTACAAAAAAGCGTAACATCTACATGTATTGTATTGTAATAAGCTATTGAAACAACGTACATATGACGGACGAGATTGAACCAAGCGTACAAAATGAAGACAAAGAACAGAAGAAATTAAGCGAATTAAAAGTTGATGGAGAAAAAGACGAGAAGAAAATCAGTGTATTAAAAGATGATCAAGAAAAAGTTGAGAACAAATTAAGTAAATTAGACGATGATGATGAATATGATTATATTACAGTACCACCAGATGGAGGTTTCGGTTGGGTTGTTCTTGTGGCATGTTTTGTAAGTGATTATCTAGAATTACAAATAATTTTACTTTTATTCTTTCCTATGTTAAGCTTATTAATGTGATTATTGATGGTTTCCTTTATGCATTTGGTGCCACATCAAAGGATATTCAAGCTCATTTTAAATGTCAAGAATGGGCTTTATCACTTATTATTTCATTAGCTTGCGGCCTTTACATGCTCAGCGGTAATTGAACTTTTTGTTGGTTTTTCTTTCGTCTTTTTAATAATCATTTGATTTCTTTATTTGATTTGAATATAGGTCCAATAGTTTCTGCTCTTTGTAATAAATGGGGTTGCCGTCGGATTGGTATTATCGGAAGTTTTGTTGCTGCACTCTCTGTTGCAGCATCGGTACTCTCACCACATATTGTGATAATGTGGTTATTATTCGGTATTATTGGTGGTACTGGTATGGGCTTTATTTATTTACCAAGTATTGTCATGGTTGGATATTATTTTGAAGAAAAACGTGCTATTGCAACAGGTAAAATAAAAGATTCTTTCTTGGATGAATAGATAATAAATTTACTGTTATAGGTATTGTTACGGCTGGTACTGGAATCGGTTCGGTTATATTTCCACCTCTTTCACGTTTTTTATTTGATACGTTTGGTTGGAAAGTTGCCTTAATCATACAATCACTTATACTTCTTGGCTGTGCTGTATGCTGTATATTTATGCGCCCTTTACAACCAATACGAAAACGGCGTATTTTACCATCGCCTGAAAAGTAAGTTTTATAATTTTAGAGGAGCAAGTGATCTGTTAATAATATTAAAAGACTCTTTATTCATTTTTCATATCACTTATCATTCGTTATTTTTCATTCAACTGGAAAAACCCTAAACTCTTTTAATTACATGAAATATTTTATGTCTGATAAGAAATTTACATTGTGTTGAATAAATGAAACAGTATCTCTGTAGATCTTAACGTTCTATTTAATCGGAGACTACATTTGTTTTCGGCATGTTTCTTCAGTATCAAATCGCATTTGAAGATGTCTTTTGGCTTTTTGCAATGAATTATAATATTGTTTCTTATAATAAAAGCTTTCTTTATTCTTTATTTCCATAGAATTGATGAGACTGTGCAAAAAATCATGGTTAGTTTCACGTCTTATTTGAAATTTATATTACTCTCCTATAATATAGACACCAGCATCTTCAATCAAAGGAGGAAAAATGACACCAGCATCTTCAATTAAAGGAGCAAAAATTACGCCAACAATTGTGATAATACCATCGCCACAAGATGAAGACTCAAGATTACCCGATGTAACATTGGAAGTAGACGACAAAAGACGATGTCGAACTGAGTCGGGTGTGTCAACAAAATCACGGCAAAGTATTAGAGCTGAAGATGCTGTTCGTCCGTAAGGTCTTACTTCGAAATTCTTTTTTCTTACATTGTTGTTTTTTAATAGCTTATATAAAGAAGACGTACTCTATCAAGGTGATACAAGAGATTTACCTGAATTCCAATCTCAACCTGATATACCTACATATGTTCAACAAACAACAAAAGTTCCTGAAGCAGTGGAACAAACTAAAATGAAAGCATTTTGGGATATATTTCTTACTATGACAAATATTCATCTTTTACGTGATAAGAGGATGCTTATTATTTGTGTGGTAAATCATAATAACAATATATTTTGTTTTGTGTGAAACACAATCTAACAGAAGTAATGAAGTATAGGAGTAAATATTTCAGTCTCTTCTCGAGACATAGACTGTAGCAGATGTTATTGACATACAATCAAAGACCGTCTATGAATGATATCTCGTTACAATACAGAGTGAATCATAAATAGCAGTAAGATAAAATACAATGAAATACCTTCGCATCACAGATCGAAATCGAATCGAATGTAACTCTCTTGATTCGAATCAGTAGCAATACCTTCATTAAGTCTGAAACATGAGCAATAAAGCTTACTTAAATGTAGAGTTCATGTTCTTTGTATCTTACATCTTGCAAATTATACATATCTCTTTGTATGAAAAGTCTACTAGATCAACTATTGTTTTTATTTGATTCAAAAACAGTTAATATCTATTGGTTTATTTTATGATAGGCCATTTTAGAGGGGTAGATCTATGCGTAGCTGTTTTCATGGCTACGTCTCTTTTCACACTCTTAGTATGACTTTCTAGTTTTACGCAGTATTTAGAGCTGCTGATGTTTTTTTCGTCCTTTTAATCAGCACACGGATTCAGTTCCATTATTGGGAACTGGAGGAGCGATCCTGCTTCTTTGATTACATGATCGCTAGGACTGTTGTACTTAATGGTGGATTTGAAGAATTATTACTCAGTATATAGATATACGAAAACTTGAACAAAAATTTACGTGGGATGTAGATGTATTTTATTCGTGAAAATGAACGAGTTTTTTTTTCAGCATGAACTAAATCGAATTGAGATTTTCTTATTTGTTTCGGTTTTTAATCCGCATTCTTTCAATCAAACGAGCTGATTTAAGGATTTTCTTCATACGAATAAAATACATAAATAAGATCATTTTCATTTTCGGCGAATGAATTGATAACCGGAAATCGGTCTGTATCATATACAATCGACTCTATATCTAACATTTTATAATAATTAATTAGTTTATTAATAAATTGGTCGATTACATTTGTTGTTTGAGTAAGGGTTTGGATATGGATTTGGATTTGGATGGAGTGAGGAATCAGGTTCGCAGCCATGCTCTATCTTAAGTTTTTCACCAACTAGAGTTCGATGGTTAGAAAAATTACTTGAAACCGGGACAGTGATTTCAGTTCGGTTTCTAAAATGTCACATGGAATTGGAACCATAAAATTACCAGGTACACACGAAAATACTAGAAAATATTTTGGAAAGTTTTCACCAATGAATTGTTAAGGTTAACGACGCTACATATTTCAGTACGGAAACAAAACAATATTATACATATATATCGAAAGCTGCTATAATCTCAAGAATGATAGAATGAAAATTTTTCAACATAGATTTAAGTATTTTTGTATCTCTGTGACAGTTTGACATTTCTAGCTTTTTGAGATCGTTGAACTCCAAGTACCAACTGAGATGCTAATAAATTGATTAGATAACGTACTAATAATTTATAATAAAATGTTATGTATCAAAAAATAACACTTGATAGTAGTATTTGTTTACCTTTTTCATGCGAAAAGAAGAACTGTAAGTAAATTTTTACCACTAACCAAAAATCTACCCATCCGAGCGAATTTAAGCTGAGAGATTTCAGATTCTTTTTCTTAGTGTGATTTGCAGCTTACCCTACGTATATAAAGCACTTCTTTCTTGCATTTAGGAAGGATTAAGTAAAAGGATGGTGAAGAAATATGTCTCAAAATAGACAGAACAAAACGAGATCTCTGTAATGAGTAACAACAACTCCATCGTGTTTCACGTTTTTATCCTGCAATTATTGTGCTTTTATAGCTTTTTCTATTATAATGATTTATTTTGTTTCTTTTTGCTTTTGAGGCTAACGTGTTTTCAATGATCGGTTGCTATACACCTTATATATTTATTGCTAAATTTGCTTCATCAGAAAGAGGTATTAATCAAGACGATGCCGCTATTCTCATATCATTTATTGGTAAATAGAATGATGTGATTTATTTATTTATGAAAGAATTCTTTATATCTAGGCATTACTAACACAATTTCTCGATTTATCTCTGGTTGGGTAGCTAAAATTCCTTCTATGTCACCATTGCTTATCAATAATATTGGTTTACTTGTTGGTGGCGTACTTACATTACTCGTACCATTCTGCCAAACAAGGTTCCATCTTATAATTTTTTGCTTACTTTGGGGTGGTTTTGTTGGTAAAATTGTTTTTGTTGTATTGAAAACTTATTATGAATTACTTATATTTTTTTTTCTATCTAAGCATTTCATATTTCATTAAGTCCCATAATTATTTGCCAAATTGTTGGTCTGGAACTTTATAGTAGTGCATTGGGTTTATCTTTAATGTTTCGTGGTGTAGCAACATTGGCTGGTCCACCTGTAAGTTTTATGTTTTTTTTGGAAATTCTTCATTTTTTCGAGAAATTTTTATTTAGTTACTGGGTGCAGTTCGTGATCTAACATCAAGTTTTAATTTAGTATTTATAATTGGTGGTTTTACTCTTATAATAAGTTCTCTAATGCATTTTTCTCTTATGTGGATTGCTCGTTCAAATAAAGTAGAAATTGATGCAACAAATAAGGCTAAAGAATCTCAGGAAAAATCCGTTGCATCTGGCGTTTAATTTTAATTTCATTTATTGTGATATTTTTTTTTTCATTTAACTAAACCTTATATTCGATTTCTTTTTTTTTTAACACTACATTTTAATGCCGCAATACTAACAGTCTAGTTTTTTTTCAGACAAACCTGTAGTTGTAGTAGATAGTTTTTATTAACCCTTTTTTTTTGAAATATATAGATGAGAAATCCTGTTTCAGGTATTATATTTAAAAAAGTATAATGAAAGTTTTATTCAAAATGAAGAACAAAAGATTAAAAGGAAGGATATTATGAGCAAAACAATCGAACATGAACATCGTTTATTTTGCTTAAATTTTGTATTTCTATGCGATAGATGAAAGTAATCAATGTCGAATGAATGCGAGATGAGATCGAAAATTCAATTAGATTTATGATACTGTTATCGGGTAGGTCTTGTATGCTTAAAACATCTCTAGGAAGCTATCAGTCAGAAAATATCTTACTTCCTCAAATCAAATTCTTTCATTCTGTAATTTATTTAACTTGTGTTGAAACTTATGTCAAATAAATTATTATTACACATGAAGAGCTACTGATATTATTTCAAGGAGATTTTTTTCTGTAAATTTACTATATCTTCGATTTTGGTTCAATTAACTGTGGAAAAATCTGACAATTTAAAGTATATTGACACTTATTACGATATTTTGTGTCGTTCTTTTGCGAAATTTTCAAGTGAAATTGGTTTTGATCAGTGTTTCGAAAAGACCAAACAACAGTGTATTGGAACGAATAGCGAGTGAACAGTAATTAATTAGACAAAACAATCACTTATTTTTCAATCTTTTAAGGAGTCTGTAGAGTTTTCGAAACATTAGGTTAGCATCCCAATTTTGTGTTCTTTCCAAGTATCAGTTCAAAATTTTTGTTGAACTTTTGATTCAGGAGTCACGAACCAACGTTTTTGACTATTTGTAAATCAAGATATTAATAAGTAGTCAGCTCTAACGACGGAACTCATAGTGTTGGTAAAAACGCTGAAAGAATTCGTACCATTGAGTGCTTCTTCGCGAATCATAATTTTTTTATTAAATTTTTCAATCTATTGCAGAATACCAAGAAAAAAATCACAACAAAGAGTTTCGTCCTGAAATTCTCTCTACAGAAGCTCTCATGGTCCTTCTAGGATATTGATGACTACAGCTCGAACGGATGTTTGTCTTCGGAAATGACACGCTTGCAAAAAGCGTTCCTTTCAAATTGAAGCTTCAAAAACAGCTTTTTTTAAAAGACATACGATATCCTATGAAGAAGTCATCTGTTTGACCTGAAACTTTCAGACTATTATACGGCTCATGAGAGCTATTGTTAAGAAGAATTTCAGGCTGAAAGATCAAGAAAAGGAGCATAACTTGAAAAAAAAAAGTTGTCATGGCACGAAACCTTTCAGAATTTTTATCTATACTATTAGCAGTATGAGCTCAAACGACGATTATCAATCAGATGGATACCCTTGTTTGAGGTGAATACTTATTTATATACTATTTCATAGAGAATTGTTTGTTCTTTTAAATTACTGTTCGACAATCCGTTAGGCTCTTTCTAAAAAATGACTAAAAACTGAATGATCAGAGAGCAAGAGGTCTAAAAATCCGACTTTTACCTGGACATTTTTATGAATGCCTTCATATGTCCATGTCATACTTTCGTTCTATCCAAGGCATGGTTGACAAACATTCTTTTTTTTTGTTCTGCAAGATAACTGTGTAATTCAATAATATAGGACTACGTTAAGCATAAAATAATACTTTTTCATCATATTAATTACAGATTTAATCTCTTAATCATGGTGAAATATATCGCAAAAAAAAACAAATTTCTTTTTTTCTCATGACAGTATCATGTAGTTTATTTATTATTAAAAGTTTACTGCCACATTTACGTGCATTGATATGTGCTGTCACATTGATATGTTAGACGATTAAATCTTTGTCCCAGTGGACAAAGAGCAGCGGTAGGTGCTAAGGTGAAAAATAGAATATTTATTATTCAATAAAACCTATTTCAATAACCTACCACCAAATGCTTGAGGACAATAAAAATATCGACCAATAGCACATTGCGCTGTATCAGGAAAGACACCTTGGCGTGTGCATGTAAAATAATCTATCGAAAAAGATATTACAAGATATCAATAAAAAAATTAAATCAATACAAACTTTGATTGCATGTTATTCCTCTCCAACCAGGTGTACACTGACAATATGCATATGTAGTTGCTCCAGTTTCCTGTTCGTAACAAGTTCCAGATTGGCATAAACCCGCATAACAACGATTTCGAATACCTTATTATTTTTTAAAATCAATCTTTTAAAAATAAGAAATATTTCAAAAATAATTCTAACCTTGAACTTCACAATTTGGACCAGTAAAACCTAATTGACACCAACATACTTCTTGGCCACTCACTATATTGCATACACCACCATTAACACATAGTTTAGTACAACGAGCTTGATTTATATTAGTACCTGTATTTTCGAAAAAATTATTTAGGAAAACTAGCTAATCTATTCTTACGACAAGGCGCATTAACCACAGGTGTAACATTGTTTGGACATGTACATAAAGCATGTGCATAATTAGGCGGAACATCATAACAACAATAACCATTTAATGGGTCAAAGACACCGGGTACAAGATTACATGGATTACTTGCGCATGTTACTATGAAATATAAACATAGATAAACTGTACGATACTATTATGTTTACCTGCTTGTGTTATATCAATGTATTGTTGTAAAAAAAGAGTAATAATAATAACAACAATACGGGTTCGAACCATCATGAAATACAATTGACTTAAATTACTTATCTATCGTTTTTTTATAGTCACCTATACAAGAATATAAGTGAATATTTTTCCATTAAGATATTAATCTTTTGTTTTAAATTAACTTTTGAAATTGATATTATATGCTTTCCGCGAATAACAAAAAACAAGACAAGAACCGCAAAGAAACAATACCATAAAATGATAAAAATTAATCAAGTTTACTAATACAACAATATATATAATTGCACCAAAAAGTATAGAAGATAAAAATATATGAATATGGTCGTACATTTCAGTTTCAAAAACTCCGAAATGATACAGCAGTTTTGAAAGTTAAACAGTACTTTATGCAGATAATTCTTGAGGTTACAACATTTCTATCCACGGTGTTTTCGGAGCATGGTTAGATTTTTCAAAATAGTTGGTTTACATCTCGTTAGTGAGATGATGAAGTACGAATATCAAAACAAAAAAGATACTCTTATAACTGAATGAGAAGTTCAAAAACCTATTCCAAGTGCCACAAATTCTTCTTCAGAACTCTCTAGATGATGGTAAAACAAAAATATTTGCTTCAGGACTTGATAGAATCTTTAGAAAACCAGATTTTTCAGAAGAAGTTTTTTGAGAGTCTGCTATTTCGGAAAACTTCATCATAGATGCGATTCGTGCTATTGAGCCTATCCGAAAGTTTTCGGATTTTTTTTTCGCATATAGCCAGCTGAAAGAGTCGATGTTTTTACATATGTCTATGTTAAAAGAACTTATATAGAAAAATAATCCTTGTAAAAGATCAAAGTTATATGAGCGGTATGCCTCATGTTGCGTGAAATGATCCATATAATTACTATAATTCATTTAATAATCAATAAATTAATCAGATTGTTGACATAGGAACAATACATGAGAAATGCCTAAATGGGAAATAAGCATCAACAATATTTGGATAATTATAAAATAGCATGTTAGTTGAATGTATGCATAAATTAAATTCAATCGCGTGAATTCTTTCTTCATTATCAAGAACAGCAAAATCTTATTTGGCTTTAGAATAAATTTATAGTTTTCTATAGGAAGAGAACTCTAACAAGAATCTTATTTTCCAAAAACGAAATTCATATCAACTATTAATAAAATTGCTAGCAAAATCATGTGTTCCTACTGCATCAGCGTCAGTTGAACATTTGTATTGCAACATCTTTAAAGTGTAATAAGATATTAATTGAAATGTTGATAAATAACTTTTTCTTATAAACCAATATAAGTTTAGATTGGCGTTGATGAAAAAACTGAAACTTCTTTTTTTTTATGGTATTGTGAAAGTACATAAAAGAGAACGGTTGATGTTACTGTTTTTTATAAAAATAAACTAAGAACGAAAAAATGGGAGAAATTTCTTGACTTGACTTGAAAAATGAGGGTGTGGGATGTGGGTGTGGATGTTATCTACATCCACAACACAGCTTCATACCCACACCCACATCTACACCCTTCTAGACTATTGTATTATTTTAAGCGATAATGTTACCCGCAAGTATACAACATTCGTCTTCCATGTAAAGAAAAAATTTAATGAAGTATCTTGTCAAATTGTTTTACATCAGTCGTCTTCGAGATTTCAATTAGAACTAATTTGTCTTGGTTATCGAATTGTTATTGGTACACGAGAGATCGTCTAACTGATGTGCTGAAGATCGCGATTTAAAATTACAACAATGTACTTGTGTTGTAATGGATGAAGCTGATCGAATGATTCCTAATAAAAATTTCAATAATTTATTTGGTTCTTATTAGTTTTTACTTGTTATAGGTATGGGTTTTGAAACTTATGTTACAAGTATTCTTGAATATTTAAACTTGGTCTTTACCATCGTAAAATAAAAAAATCTCCATATCTATCCTTTTGATTTTTCATTGAAAAATGTTTGAGCTCAGGTAAGAAAAATAATTTCGTAGTTAAATTGTTTTACATTCAAAGTTCTATTGAGATTACGAAATGAATTAAAAATAATGTTTGATCTTTTTACTGGTACTGAATATACATGTTCATCAATGATTGAACCTATGAAACACTAATTCATTTCGGAATGATCATATTGTTAATACGGAAATGACTTAATCAATCACCGTTGAATACATACATTGTTTAATAGCCATTGAAGAACATGTTTTTACTCGAATAAACGACTGCGATGTTCAGAAACGAACGGATCTCGCCCGAAACAGAAATCGAGAAGAACAAGTGTATCCAGCCAAAATATACTGGAAATCGATGAAGCATCGAACCAATGTTCCCAATTCTTCGATTGAAAATAACCGGAAGTTAACTGAAAATCACAGGAAAAACCCGAACATTTTTGAGCCCATATTAATTCATCTAGGTATTCTTCGTCTTCTGCCATATGTTAATTGTGTACTTGATAATGATTTATTTGATATTAACCTTGTTCAGAAAACAACTAAACGATTTACATTAACATATGGCATGCATCAATGTGTTGCTAAAACAAAATCAATTAGCAATCTGGTATGCATTGGTGATTTAATTTATGCGCAATTTAGTTAAGGTATAGAAATATAAAACTCAAAAAAGACGTATTCATATGCTGATCACAATGGTTTCATGAAAGATATTTGTGATGAAAATGATATTGTTAGATTAACTAAAATTTCAAGCAGGAAATAATTTCTTGTTGATTCTATCTCTTCATTTATATCTTTGACGATAACATCAAATATCAATGAAATAACTCTAGATAAAGAATATTGTAAAATCATGTAAAAGATTATTCGAGGATTAAAGGTATGCAAAATGTCTAAAACAAAAAATTCAAAGTTTTGTAAACTTATTCATAGAAGATAATGAGAAATTTTAAAAATCTTAAAAGTATAGCAAAATTTTGTCGCCTTTTTTGTCTTTTGACATCATAAAGATAATAACATTATATAATATTTTTATCAAAAAGAACAAAATTCTATAGTTAATTGAAAAAACAAGAACTATCAAAGATAAAATTCTGCTTACGAATTAAAAGAAATTGTAGAAGATTGATAGAATTCTGTAATTTTTAGTAGAAGACAGTATGCAAAAAGAACTCTCATTTAACATACATCTTATACTAAGTTCAGCTAAGAACTTAATTACTCTTCTACTCATTCCAAATAACAAATCTCTTGAGAATTTTAAAAGAAAACTAATTTCATGATGATAGAATATTGCAATTATTAAGAAAACATACAATATTTATTACGAATAATTTACGTTTGCAAAACTTATACAGTAATGTATTAATCGCTTTGTCCCTTGTCGGAATTGAAATTTGGATAATAATTTAAAATTTATGTAACATTGCATGTTCCATATAATTTGCTTTTAAATAACAGAGAATTCTGTTCAGAACTTCAAAAATAACAATATAGTACTAATAAGCTTCTTTATTGACAGTTACATATGGAATCTTCACTTTATATGCACATGGTGATAGATAGAATTCTACGAATACTACTCGAGTGTCAATATAATCTGGCAATATTTTCGAATGGTCAGAGTCAGTGTTGTGAGATAATTCAAGTGAATAGGTAACATATAGAATGAGATTTATTCACCGTTTTCTTGTGGGTTAAGAACATGTAAAAAAGAAAACTGGTTACATCAGCTGATTTGTTACTAAGATGGTCTCTACTTTCCTCTATCTTTGTTAATTCCTGTACTAACATATGATAGCAAGACAATTAAGAAAGAAAAAAAGACTGTTCTTAGAAAAAAAAAATCAGATGATACAACCATTTTTTGTATACATATTCGTGGCCAACAAAAGAATCATGAATAAGATTTATTATTCTCAAAATTGAAATTTCAATTAGTTTATTTTACACCACAATATGCATAATATTCGGTTTCAAAAGTGTTTTACTTTTTTTTTTTGAAAACAAAACTTTTAATTAAAAATCATAAAAACAAACAAGACACAATAGAAGGCCTTTCAGCTGAAAAATTTATACGCTTGGACATAATAGACGATTCGAACATTTTCCATAGTGGATAGACCTTGACTGCACAAACAATTCATAATAGAAAAATGCGTAGCTATTACACAGTACTGAAGTCTTGCCAACGAAGATAAAGCAAAAATACTCACCCACATTTTGCTCTCTAAGTTTGAATATTTTCTACATGCACTTAATCTATTTATCTTTCTACGTATATAACATGTAGAATTTGTCCTGGCCAAACAAAAATAGCGAGGAGTAATAAGTGCATAACACATAAACACTATGTAAGCATCTGTCCTAGCAAGAATTAATACAGTCTTCTTTAATGCGAACAAAAAAAGCATTTGTACCGTTACATTATGAAAAACCATTGCGGAGTATATTGAATGTTGCAGATGATATGACAAAATGTGCTAAAAGGACAAATCAGGACAAAAGCATAATAATTAGATCTTTTGCGATTTGACAGGAAGCTATATCAAACTTTTCTTCCACAGTGGCTTAAAGTTTAAGGTCTCATTGGTTTGATTTATCAATTAATAAGTAACTAATAAAGGAGAGAATGTGCTCTTTTTTGATTTTTTTTTGTGGAAATAATGGAATTCATTGGATTAAACAATTTTACAGAGGCATTGTTTGTGATAAAAATCTATTTTAAATAAATAATCGATTACGGTAAATCAATAAAAAGTCTTTACAATCTTTTTCTATTTTTTCCTAACAAACAAATAAAAATTAAAAAATTGTTCTTTTTGGAAAACTTCACCTTGAATATGTCAACATGATGAATAGATTTCTACGATTTGAAGAACAATAAGATAGAACATTCAATGAATGTAAAAACCATAATTACTATTATCTATTGTGATTATAGTACAGAAAAAGATATACTTTTTGATACTGGAAGTACAAGACAATCAATAACAAAAATACATAACACTTAAACACATCGAATTGACTTCTTTTGTGATTTTCCAAAATTAATTCTTCATAGACTGGTAAATATAGAAAACAAAAAGAGCTATTCTGCACTTTTGATTCGAAAAGTTGATACATTGATTTTGATATGCTTACATAAAAGAAGAAAGCTCACAAAGGCTCATCTATACTTTTGGTATTATATCTTTATTCAATGTACTGAGCGCAATGTATCTGTGTATTGAGTCAGTTATCAGCATGTCACAGAAACTATGTTGGGTTCCTTGATGACAGTTGTCTAACCCGATGGATACTCCAACCAAGTACATGCTCAGTTTTTGATAGTATTCCATTAAAAAATTTTTCAACAAGTTGCTAAATTAAATATTTAGAAGCATTTTGTAGTCAAATACTAGAAACTCATACATTATTCTAAGGCTTCTGTGATATACTGATCATCGAGTATTCATGAACTCAGTATATTCATCAGAGCATTGGAGTGTTTCGACCTTACAATAAACAAAATTATGAAACAAATGTGCTTAGAACGTTTGTAGGGTCAAAAGGATGTAATTCTCTTAGCATGAATTCAAAATATAGACATATATATCGATTGATACTGCATCTTTTTCTGGCAAAAATATTTTGTAAATAACATCTGTCATGTCCGCATAACGGAAGAAAAAGCCAATATAATAGGAGAGACCAACATAGACACGTCAAAGTAATTTCCCTCTCATGTAGTTGTTTTGTGTTTGTGTTTCACATCATATAATAAAACCAAAACTGCTATCTTCTGTTTCTTGTCATATAACAGCAATAATAATTGAAATATACAAATCTTCTAATTGACAGCAATAATAATTTCATCGTACTTATAATTTAATATTGCTGTAGAAAATATTCTCGTTTTAAAATTTCAATTTAAATATTTAGTATAAAATTCATACAACAGATAAACCATAAATTAATGAATAATATTAACAAAAAGAAAAAGAAAACAAATTATACAGGTGATTCTTGTACAGCTCGTTCGTCAATCTTTATATGTTTATCATCACTTTGATTATGTCTTGAAACATCATTTGTTGAATAAGACATACTATATCTAGTGGCATGTAAATTATCCATACTTTTATAATGTAAATCAAGTAAACTTCTTCTTACAACAGATGATATCATACGTGGATCAAGAAGTTTTTCACCATGATGTGAATGTTTTGTTATTGAATCATATGAACTAAATGAATGTGTATGTTGTTCATTTGGAGATAAATGTGAATTCGATGATGCAATTGTTTCTAGATTTTTATATTTATTTGTTCTATGATTATATACTGGTGATGTTGCACCAAGACCTGATATACGACGTGGTTTTGAATGAATAACCATATCACTTGTACGATGAACAACAGTTATACGATTTAAATTCATTGGCGCTTTCATAGACGAACGATACGGTAAATCCCGATGACGAATACGTAATAATTCTGAATGACGAATAAAAATAAATATTGAGCCACACCATAATAACAATACACAAATAACTATTATAACCTCCGGTAGTCGAAGTGGATCAGGTCGATCAGCTAATGCAAAAGAAAAACAAACTATGTTTCAAAGTCATTGATAATTTCAATGATAAATTTTGCTTTTTTTTTATTAATAGATAAAAAAAAAAAGTATAGATAGACTATTGAAAAAGCACGTTTTCATTGTTTAAAAAACAAAAAAACTAATTTCATATGCCATTTCTTAATTTAAAGCATTAATTAAAAACATACAATTTATATTTGCTTGAATTCTCATTTACTCTCTTACCTTCATTATTATTTAATGTTGTTATGTCAATACTATTATTAATAATAGATGATGTATGAACATGTACGACAAATTTTTGTGCTTCATTATATAATAAGAGTATTTGTGCCGATTCATTCTATATTTCATGATATATTAAAAGTGAAAACAAAAAGAAATACCTTCAAAGTAAAAATTTCTACCTTATCCAATTGTTTAGGTGTCATGAAGAATCAGCTGATTAATATGAATATAGAATCTAGAATATTATAATAATCGAGTGACACAAACAAAACAAATCAATAGATGTATTACTAATGATGAGAAAAGGAAAAGGAAAAGGAAAAAAGGGAATGTTAGCTAGTTCGATGAAAAACCATTTTTGTTATGGCAATCTCAATGGTTACACATAGCATGACTTGTCGCTCGTCTATTCTGCTGTAATTGCTAACATTAGAACGTGTGTATGTTGACATGCTCTCTGTGTGTATCTCTCCCCTTTTTCTTCTCTCTTTTTTTTTCACGAACATTTTGCAGACAACAACTTTTAGCCATCCATAAACCAGGATAATATGAATAGTCAATTATCATTACTATTACCATCATCATCAAAGAGCCAATATTATTAATAATAATACGGTCGTTTCCAGATAATACTCATCTATACACAGAGTCGAAAACTAATTATTATGATCTTAACATCATAGAGAAAAAGCAGAAAAAATCAATGCGAAACTCCATACTAACCTGACATTTATAGAAGTACCTATAACTATAAAACTAATATCTAATACGGCATATAGTAAAAAAAAAAGCAAGAAGAAAGAAAACAGCTCATTCTATTGATGTCTATTG